GGGGTGTGCGGCACCGGGGGGCGGCGGCGGAAAGCCCGTCTGCACCCCGGGGGTCTCGCACATCCCGGTGCCCCGAGCCCGGTGCCAGCCCCGGGGGTGCCGTGCGCTCGGGTGCCCCAGGGCCGAGGCCGGGCTCGGTGCCGGGGGTGCTGCGCGTCCCGGTGCCGGTTGTAGGGTCCCCGCACCCCCAGGGAAGCGGCGGGGGGGGCTGGGCTGCAGGGAGGGGGGTCTCTGTTGGCTCCCGGTGCCGGGGGGGTTGGGGGTCGGCCCCGGGGCTCCACCGAGGCTCCGTTCCCCCTCCTCAGCCCCTTTTTTCCCGGCAGGTGACACTGCGGAGGGACGGACGGGGCCGGGGACACCCCAAGAGAGGTAAGGGGGGTGCAGGCTGCCCCAGGGCCTGGCAGTGCCACGGGCTGGAGGGACACCGGCCGGGGACCCCGGCCTGACGCGTGTCCTCCTGCAGGCAGCGATGTCGGAGAGCGTGGCCAAGGCGGCAGGAGATGGGAGCCCCGCAGTGCTCGGCGAGATGGGCACCAGCCACGAGCTCCTGCAGCGGCTGCGGGAGCTGGAGGTACAAGCCCGGGCCACCAAAAGCTGGGATGACTGGGCAGCAGTGACTGGGGCCACTGGGCAGCCAGAAACTAGGGCCAACAGGGCAGCCATGGCTACTGGACAGCTGTGGCCATTGCCTTCGGGCAGTCATGGCCACTGCCACCATGCAGCTACCAGCACTGTGCCACCAGACATCCATGGCATTGCCTTCGGGCAGCGATGGCCAGTGCCAGCATGCAGTCCTGGCCACCGTGTCGCTGTGGGCACTAGCACAGGGCAGCCAGCACGAGGAGGTGGCCACGGGCAGCACCGCGGAGCCAGCAGCCCGACACCACGCTGGGACTAGCACTTTTCTGCTTTCCATGGTCCCACCACTCCTGGGGCAGCCCTGCCCCTCAATGTGCGGCCCAGGGTCTCACCAGGCAGAGGAGGGGTCCCCTGGGTGCCATGGGGGGCTTTCAGGTACTCGGGGTCCTCCGCCGTGTCCCCAGAGCCATCCCCACTCTGTCTCCAGGCGGAGAACTCGGCCCTGGCCCAGGCCAATGAGAACCAGCGGGAGACGTACGAGCGCTGCCTGGATGAGGTAACAGGGAAGGGGGGGGGGTGTGTGTGATGTGTGTGACACGGGTTCACACGCTGGTGCCGGGGCACAGGTCTGTGCGTGCCCGTGCACCCCACCCAGGCTCCCCCTCTGCTCCTCAGGTCGCCAACCACGTGGTGCAGGCGCTGCTCAACCAGAAGGTGGGTGTTGGGGGTGGCTGACGGGGGTGGCGGGGGGCTGGTGGGGTCCTGGCTGACGCCCCCTCCTCCTGCCCTGGCCAGGACCTGCGCGAGGAGTGCATCAAGCTGAAGAAACGGGTCTTTGACCTGGAACGCCAGA